TTTTGTGCATGACCCAGTTAGCTTAGTCATGGCTGCCTAAATAGAGGATGGCAGAGAGTTTGTTTATAGGAGCATGGGTGCCGTACCAGTAGTTACACCACTGAACAAAACGCCGGTCCCACTCCCCTCCATCATTAATTGTGTGTAAATCTTCAGGTGGATGGGACCCCATGATTCCCTTCCCCAGCCCATGTTAGGATGCTGATGGGCCCCATCCTGTGCAGACCTTGTATATGTATCACAGCTACTGTGAGTTCAAGTGTGCAGTAGCCATGTTGGACCTGAAGGTCAGCATTCCCTTCACCCCTTCCTCTGGCTCTTACATTCTTTCCGCCCCTTCTACTTCAATGTTCTCTGGGCCATTTAGAGGGGGTGAAATGGATGCTTTATATTTTGTCCAGCATCCAGCAGTACTTATTCTCTACATGTTGATCAGTTCGGAGTCTCTGCAGTTACTTCTGGCCATCTGCGTGAACTGATAATACACAACAGTGCAAGTTAAAAAGGTAGCTATGGGAGCTGCAGAGGTGGATCAGCAGTTGAGAATGCTTGCTGCTCTTCCACAGGGCCTGAGTTCAGTTCCTGGCACCCAGATCCACTTCGGCTCTGGGGGTCCTGGTCTCTTCAGGCACTGTACTTACACACACACACACACACACACACACACACACACACACACACACACACACACACTAAAGTCTGTCTGGAGAGATGGTTCAGTAGTTAAGAGCACTAGCTGTTCTTCTGGAGGTCCTGAGTTCAGTTCCCATCAACCACATGGTGGCTCACAACCATCTGTCATGGAATCATATTCCATCTTCTAGTTATCATGAAGATATGTACTCAGATACATAATATACAAGAATAAATAAATCTCTTTTCTAAAAATAAAGTCTTTAAAGCTATAGATATAAGTTGAATGTGGTATTATACATTTGTAATCCCTGCACTTAGGAGGTTGAGGCTGGAAGATCATAGTTTGTGCTTAGCCTGGGCTATATAGTGAGACCCTTAAAAAAAACTAAAGCAAAATTAACCAAAAAAAAAAACCAAAACCCAAAATTCTAGTTGGGGAATATAGCTCATAGGTATAGCAATTGCCTATGCACCACCGTGGGATCAATTCCCAGCACTGGAAGAGTGTAGGGAAAGACAAGGCTACTGTCCCACTGTCAGTACAGAGCTCCATTCCAAGGCTCTGTATCTTTGCAGGTATGGAGGCTGATTCTTAGGCAATAAGGGTTCTGCTAGTCCTTAGCTAGTCCTGGTTAACTAGTCTTTGTTAGCTAGTCTTTAGCTAGTTCTTGTTAGCTAGCTCTTGTTAGATAGTCCTTGCCTAGTCCGTTAGCTAGTCTCTGTACCTCTGTCCTTTAATCATTTAGTGCCTTTAGGATCAGCACAGAGCAGGAACCAGTGGCTAACTGTCAAGGAAGAGGGCGCAGTGATACCCTGCTGTCTTAACCGAAGCTTCCATTTATCAGTTAACTAACAATACTGTCCATTTGCAGACTGCTTTCTGCAAAGCTACATGCCATAAAACAAAATGACAGTGCTTTCCTTTTGAGTCTCTAAGGTTCTAGGTGTCCCCTTCATGGTCAGGTGACAGCGTCATCACTGAGAAAAACAGAAGGGACACAGCTTGTGGATTTTATGTTATGTTTGATAATACTGTGTTGTATTTCCTCCTGGGTAAAGGGTCTTCTTTCTTCCAGGTGGTCCCTGATGTTGCTTGTGGGAATGCCAGCTCCAATAACTCTGCAGGTGGCCGCCTTGTGTCCTTTGAAGTGCCACAGAACACCTCTGTAAAGTAAGAGTTTCCTTGGATCAAACCTGTTAAGATCAATGCTATGCACAATGTGCTGGGCAGTATCTACCATTCATCTGGGTGTTAATGGCGAATCCAGTGGGGATCTTGAATGAACCCCATACAGGAACCTGGCCTATGCTACTTGGGAAACAAGAATAAGGAGGATCAGGGTTGGAGGGTTAGGAGCTGGCCAGCTGCACAGGTACAGTTGGCAATGGGGTCAGGCAAGTCAGAGCTGACAGAAGAAGCCTAGAAGCCTTAGGAAAGATTTGGAGTCCGTCACCTCATCTCCCAGATGACTTCTGCTTCTAAAAATTTTAATGGACCTTTAAAGTCAATTGTGTAATTTACTACAAATCTTAGAAAATCTACCCATTGCAACTTTCTCTTTCAAAGCAAGCAGCCTAGGGAAAGCGTCCAGTTGGTTCTAAACGTAAGCTGTCTAGTGACAGACTGCCCATTGTCTCCTGGGAGATGGAAGAGAGACAAAGGAAACAGCTGTGGCTGAGCAGCCACCTGAGGTGTGTGGGTGATTTACATAGACACCGGGAGGCTGGCATCTGCCTGGGGTGCACAGCTGGGAGTTGGAAGGAGCCAGCCCCAGATTGCTTCAGACACACTGCCATTAACTGTCACCCTTCCTACTCTAGCCCCCACACTCAGTTCCCCAGGGGACTTTAGAAGGCAAGAAACATGTGGCTTTGACCAGCTAGTTCTGTGATTGGCTCTCTCCGTTGTATGCCTTGGCTTACTATGCACCTATCCCGTGCGTACTGACCAACTTTACCTGCCTGGTGTTCCCAACAGAGAGCTCACTGACAATGTCTACCAGAGGGACCTCATTAAAATAACCCTACACCTCCCCACCTCCCCACCAACCCAAGCAGTGAGGTCACCCTGACAAAGGAGAGCCTAGGTAGGCACCGAAGGTCTTAGAGGAAGGTCCTCATAGGCCAAGGTGGAGCATGAGGTTGCTCCCAGCTCTACCAGCAGGGGGAACCCCATGTTTAGGGTTTCAAAGTACCTCCCACAGCTGCAAGTCTGGAGGTTGGGAGCTGCCTGGAGATAAAAACATGAATTCACTATTTTACTAAGTACCTCACGTGTCTGCTCTTACAGTGGCATCTTCTAGCTCTTTCTTGGGTTGGTCGCATCATCCACTGTCATAACCTCTCTCAGTAGTCCTACTCTCCAACCTCAATCAGGGCTTTCCTTTTCTTCCTTCTCCACAAATCTGATGTTCCCTGGACCTCTCTTGGGTGGGCAGAAACCACAATATGACCCAGGCTGAGCAACAGGAGAATGGCACCTGATCTGTGGGCACTCCAAATTCATGTATGATTCATATATGGGTGTTGCTAGCCCCTGGTAGTGTACTTTCACTTATTCGTGAATCCAGTCATTTACCAAGATGTTATTGAGCTACAACTGGGGAGCTTGTGCTGAGGGAGTAACTATGTGGGGTCTGCTGACCGAAGGATGTAGGAACTGGGTCCTCTAAAGTACAAGGAGAACAAGCAGCTGCTGGCTTTGTAGAAGGGGGCCTGGGGTCCCATAGCAGAGGTGATGCATAGGCTAGGGGCATACTTCCCATGGGCAGCAGGTGAAGCTTGGTGGCCAGGTAAAATCCTGGGAAGAGATGTAGGTAGCTTGTTGGTGCTGGGGTGCTGAGTGGCAGGGACACAGATGCTGGAACTGGAGCTGAGAGGGAGCTGGCAGGAGTTCACTGGCTTTAGAAGACTTCCTATTTTCTGGATCTTATCCTGCAAGCCTTGGGAAGATAGAAAGACCTGACACACTGCTTACTGTGATAGCTTGGCTCGGAAGAATGGGTTGGATTGCAGCATACATCTATGATAAATTGAAGCAGGATTTATCTTATTTTACATTTATCTGTAAAAGAACCCAACCTGACTTTTATTATTGTTTATCATTTGCAAAAGATGCAGTACTGACTAGTCACTTCGTGGGGGGCAGGGTGGATGTTTCCGATAAGTGTGGTTACCTTAGTGTGTATAAGGTGGGCGCTTGCTTATACAGCCATTCCTTTGTTTTCTTGACACTTTGTGTGGCTGTACAGGGCATCTGTATTTCCGTCTCCGACCTGCTGAATTGGTTCTGAGGTGTGTTTCAGCCAGAGTGACTTTGCGTCGATCTGTTTCTTGTTTTCAGAATTCGGCAGGACGCCACCGCTTCACTGATCTTGCTGTGGAAGGTCACAGCCACGGGCTTTCAGCAGTGCTCCCTCATAGATGGACGAAGCGTGACACCCCTCCAGGCCCCAGGTGGCCTTGTCCTGCTAGAGGAGATGCTGGCCTTGGGACCAAATCACTTCATTGGTGAGTTATGGAAACCTTGCCTACCCCATGTCTGACTCAGCCTAACCTTGGTTTGGTGTTTAGCGGTGGCCCATAGGAATTCTGTCCGGAGGAGATGGCGTGAATTCTCCACCGCTACTGCATGCCCTCCACTTCAAGAATGGTTTGAACTATAGTCAGAACATCTTTCTAACACAGCATTTGTGGCGTGACTGTATGTGGGAAGAGCATGGGTGCTGGAATTCAGGAACTGCACTCAGTACTGACTCGGAAGTGACAGTGTGTGTGTCTGCTCCCTTGTGGTGTCCTTCTTCTGGCATCCATTGCTCTCCCATGCATCACCGCTAATTTGTTGAACCTATTTATCTCTGCAGTTCCTACCTTCTCAAAACTACCACATTGCCAGGAAGTTGTTCTCAAACTCCTTTGCCCTGCAGAGCAAGCGATCTGATTCACAAGAGAAGACACCAACCTTCCTCTGGCCTTTCCCACTCACTTTCCGCCAAGGACAGCCTTTCCCCTGGGTCACTGTTCTGGCCATATACTGCCAGTTGGCTCCATCTGTCACTCAGAGTATACTATCTCTGTAGTCAGGACTTGTGACTCTTGCCTATTGATATTGCTGACTTAAGGCACTGGGGACTTCATAGCAGCGTATTCCATTTTATAGTTTCAGTGTGGAGACACAAGTTCACGTTTAGAACTCACTCATCAGAGTCCAGGGCAAGTAAACCTCTTGCTCCTGCTGTCAGTACCTTCTAGGGTCCAACAGTCCTCCCCTGGAGGATGGGGTCAGGTCACAGTTGTCTCAGGGGAAGTTGGAGAGGTTACATGATATAATGTATATGAAACTGGGACATTACAAATGTTAGGAATTATTCTTGGGTGATTTCTTTATTTTTTCTGAGATCCACTATTTTACAAAATGAATAGAAAGTATGTGTTGAGGCTTATTCTCCAAGACATGAGCTTGAAGCAGATATTACAACAGAGGTAAAGGCTAAGAGGAAAATGTGCAGCTTTATTTAGTAGTGTGCAGGGCAGTCCGTTTATGAGTCATTTCCTCTCATGAGAGCATCCTTTTTCAAACCTTGGCAATCCAGATATGAGGAGCAGGGCTTTCACTGGATGGAGACAACGTCCAGAGACACTTTGGGGAATGGAAATGGCTAGAAAATGAGGAGAGGCATTGGGTTTCAGATCAAGGTTTGACTATCAAGATGTGTTCTAGATAAACAGAATTGGGTGCTGAGGTGCTTGTCAAGATGCAAATCAGAATTTAATTCCCCAGCACATTCCAGGGAACTGTTAGTTAATTCTGTACCTGCTGTACAATTTATCTAAAAAGGAAGTGGTGGGTGTATTGTGATTTCTAATATTCATTTACGTGTGTGATTGTGTGGGTGCAGGCACGACACATGTAAAGTTGGAAGGAGAGTCTGGAGAAGTGGATTCTCTCCTTCCACCCCGTAGGTCCCAGGACCCAATCAGGTTGGCAAGACTCTGCTGCAAGTGACTTTTCCCACTGTGCTATCTCACCGACCCCAAATCACTTTCTTCCATAGTGATCTTGTTTTCCTCTCTAGTGGATTAGTTGCTCTTCTGAGATAGAGAACTATGTAGTATTTCAAGAAAGCACACAGAGTATCACCACACTTTAAAATGTCATAGATATTATGAGAAGGTATGTGCTTAAAATAGTAGCTGACATTTCTTGTCACTTTTTGTGGTACTACAAGTGGAGACTGATATTGGAAGTATGAACTAGTATAGAGGGACTCATTAGTGTTACTGTGGATTTATTCTTTGGAGATGGGAGAGATTTTATGAACTTGTGTGCAAGCTGAGCTCACGATGTCAATGAAAAATTCATAGAAAATATTTCTCATTCAAATGCAAAAGGGATAATTTAAAAATTAACTTCACATGTTAAGGGATCCTTCCCTTCAGATTATACTTTAGGTCATCAGTTCTCAACCTTCACCAATCCTCCCAACCCCCCACCCAATCCCTACTCCCCTCCTCAGGGAGGGTGAGGCCCTCCATGAGGGATCTCCAAAGTCTGTTATATCATCTGGGGCAGGACCTAGACCCTCCCCCATGTGTCCAGGCTGAGAGAGCATCCCTCTATGTGGAATGGGTTCCAAAAGTCCATTTGTATGCCAGGGATAAATACTAATCTACTACCCAAGGCCCCATAGATTGCCGAGGCCTCCTCACTGACACCCAAATTTAGGGGGTCTGGATCTGTCCCTTGCTGGCCTCTCAGCCATCAGTCTGGGGTCCAGGAGCTCTCCCTTGTTCAGGTCAGCAGTTTCTGTGGGTTTCACAAGCCCGGTCTTGACCCCTTTGCTCATCATTCCTCCCTCTCTGCAGCTGGGTTCCAGGAGTTCAGTTCAGTTCAGTGTTTATCTGTGGTGTCTGTCTCTGCTTCCATCAGCCACTGAATGAATGTTCTAGGATGGCATATAAGGTAGTCGTCAATCGTCAATCTCATTATCCTGGAAGGGCATTCAAGGTAGCCTCTCCACTGTTTGCCAGTTGAACCAAGCACTGTTAACATACTTGCATCCCTGTGTTTGTCTCTTTAAAGGTAGTAGGTAGCCCTGTCTCATGCTCTTCCAAGTTAACACATGGCCAGCTCCCTTCTGGAGTAACAACAGGGTTCTGTCTATACACTGCCAATCTTTTTACACAGTCTTTTTATCTTAAAGGAACAAGACAGATAGTCATCACTACAGAAGCTTCATGCTTATTACATGGACATGCATTTAATACTCTTCTTGTTTTGTTAAGAGAAGTTGCTTATTAAAAAATCTTCTTTTGGAGGTCTGGGGAGATGGTTCATTTGGTAAAGTGCTTGCCACATAAACACGTGGAAACCAAGTTTTATCTCCAATAACCACATAAAAGGTTGGGTATGTCTGTGCATACCTGTAGTCCCTGAACTACAGAGGTGGAGACCCAAAGATCCCTAGGCTTGGTGACCAGCCAGTGTAGCTGAATTGACAAGCTCCAGGTTCAGAGAGAGACCGTGTCTTAAAAAATAATGTAGAGGGTGATTGAGTATGACACCCAGTGTTTACCATTGGTTTCCATACAAACACACGTGAGCTGGCCTGGAATTGGCTATGTTAAGGTTGGTCTTGAACTCACAGAGATCTGCCCTCCACTGCCTCCTGAGTGGTGGATGGCCTCCTTCCATCTTTTTGCATGGGTTCTGAGGTGCACCTCAGGTCATCAGGCAAATGCTTTTACCCATGGAGACATCTCACCACCCTTTAGAGTATTTTCTCCATGTGGTATTTCAGTACATGAATATATTATACAGTGTCTAACCATGCTGACTGTCTCTATCTTATCAAGCACCTATTTTGACTATCAATGGTCAAAACCCTCCCTTCTCTTCTGTTGAGTTTATTGCAGTAAGCCCGGTGTTCTATTACAGAGGATTGTACATAATGTATGTTCTTTGCTCCTAGTTCACGATTCCCACATTTAATATTGTTTTACAGTTTTCCTTCATTACCATTGTCTTATTAATATTTATACTGTGTCACAGGAAGAAGGAAAGAGATAATGTGGATGTCTATGAAGTAGACACAGATGCTTCCTGCTGTGCCTCTCCCATCAACCTCTTCCCTGAGTTGTCATCAAATTCTGATGCCTCTGCCTTCAGCTTAATTATCCCTTCTGTTTCCCCCAAACATGCCTTTTCCAAATATGTAATTGTCTTTATGCAATGTTTGGGGGTAAATAACTCAGTAACCTTTGTTTAACGCTGTCTACTCTGCAGGGAGCACCAACAGCACTCATTAGCTCTCCAGTGATCTACTCAGCTCCTGGTTTGCACTTCCACAGTCAAGTTCATTGTTCCAGTCCTAGTCTGGTGAAACACAGTGGCTTGCTGCTCTTGAATGTGGTGTTTGTATTTAATTTGAAGTTACTTGGTGACTTGTGGGTGATGGATTATCTATGGGTGTGGCCTCTGTTAGGATACTGTGGAAGGAGTGGACTCAGTGCTTCCTTGGGGTTAAACCACACAGGATCCCTTCCTCAGGCTTTCCCCTCTCTTGCCTCTTCTCAGGTAGTGTTCTCTCCTTTCATATGGCAAAACTTGACTGTGCTCCAACACTACCCAAATCAGCCCCATCTGGATAGCCATCCTCCAGCTGCTCATGCCAAAACCATCTTCTGGTCCCTGTTTACCCCTCCTCTCGCCATACAACACCCAAACAATAAAACCATCCTCCTTGGAGTCTTTCAGAAAGATGACTAGTCAATTTTTTAATGACCATCATATTCATGAGACTGAATCCTAAAATATAATAATTGATGTTTATTACTTTTCTATGCCTATCTATATGTCAACAGAGAATTACCTGTATATACAGACACTTATTACAGATTAAGAATAAAACTTTTAAAATTCACATAGCTTCAGAATATTAAAAGCACTGTCTTGATAGCTTGTTGGATAGTTGTACATTGCTAAAGTTCAATACATAGAATACACAGAAAGCAAATTTAGCAACTTTATGTATATACATAACTAAAAGATAAAACAACATTTTCCATAAGTTAACAGCATTGGTATATAGTCAGCTATAACATGATCTCAATGAATGACATCTCATCACAAAAAATTCTATATGTTTGTCAAAATCATGGGAAGTTTTATGTAAGTTATAAATACATACATTTGGGATAATCAGCATTGGTATGATGGAGATGTTGTTTTTTAGGTTAAATCCTGGCCATGACATCTCCAAAGTAGTTGGATGTTGGACAGGTTACTTAACTTACCTTGCTTGTATTTTCACAATTAAAATAAGGATGGGGATACCATAGTGCTATTGAGCCCCCTGCAGTCATTATAAAGACATTTTATAAATTCCTTCACTGAATAAAAGGAAGTCTGATAGAAAAAAAGAAAGATGACTAGTCAAAGATTTTTCTCTTTGTGGGTCCTCAAAAAGACTCCATGGATTCTCAAAAAAATCCCCCTTAATTCTTCTACTATCATTATAATGTTACCTGTGTGGTTGTGTATATGTGTATGCATGTTTGTGTTTGTGTGTACATGTATGTGTGTGTCTATTATGTGCATGTGGAGGTCAAGGTTAGCTTCAGATTTAGTTACTCACGCACTATTCACCTTGTGTTTTGACACATGACCTCAAACTTTAGGAAGTACACATAACCACACCCAGGATGACCTTGAGCTCCTGATCCTCCAGTCTCCATCACTCATGTCCTGAGATTATAGCCATGTTGTTCACCACACTTAGTTCATGAAATAGTGGGGATGGAGTGAAAGGCCCCATGTACACTAGGCAATTGATATACCAGCTGAGCCACATCCCTAGCACAGGGACTCCGAATCTGTGGTTGGATTGCTGTTTATTCTTCTGGGAAGCTCAATAGTCCCAGCCCTACAAACACACTGTGTATTCTTCCCATCCAATAAGCATATCCTCCCCCAACTCCAGCACTCTTCCCTTCTTCCAGCTCTTTCGTACAAGGTCTGCATCCACATCTTTTGTCTCCCTTTCCCTCTAACAGATGCACTGGCAGCTGGCATCCCACAACTGAAGAATGAATCGCCTCCATTCCCCTCCCCACTGTTTTTGGTGTGTTGGTTCTATGTATTATATGGACTGTAGATGTCGAGAGAAGAGGACCCATGTCAGGGCTGCTTGCAGTCAGGATGGCCAAGGGAAGTCACCTGCCTAGTAAAATCAGGTTGCACATCAGCGATTCCCTCGGTAAATGCCACTTGAAGGAAACTTCCAGCTGCAAAATGTCAATCTTGAGAATTCTTTGTAGACTTTCAGAACCCACCTCTATGACATTTAAATGCCCTCTTTTTTTCCATTACATTAAAAGAATTTTAGAGGATTAAATGAGAGAGAGAGAGAGAGAGAGAGAGAGAGAGAGAGAGAGAGAGAGAGAGAGAGAGAGAGAGAGAGAGAGAAATAGTTTTATCCTTCTTGTGGGAATGCTACATTTTTAACATTTCTTGCTCAGGAGGTCAGGGCAGGAAAGGTTAGGAAGGTAGACTTATTAACATCTTCTTTTGATGAAAATCTTAAGATTCAAAACTGAAAATGCAAAAATCGCTCCTTTTCATGGTCATCCTAAGACTGCGATTGCATGAGATCTATTGAGCTTCTATTGTAGAAGTGGGGGAAGACTCCCAAACTTAGACATGTTAAAATAAAAGTAGTTATTAATGACCCAGAGCAGAGGAAGTGCAAATTGCCTACCCCATGCATAATTCAGGTAAATTCTTTGCTGTACTCATTTAGTTCATTAGAAGATGGCTGTAAGGACAAGCTATTTTAAACCACATTTCAATACCATCACCAAGGAGGGTCTTAAAAATGCTCTTTCCAGGATTGAGTATTAACATACAAAAGAAGACTTAGCCGTGAACATTCCTTTTCTCAAGCACTATCATGACTGCCATCGATACTTGTTACCTATATTGTTTGTGGTGATGAATTGACCATACCATACGGAGTTCCACCATGGATATGCACGATGCCATAGCCGGTGGACTGAGGTTCCAGGGCTTTGCGGTGGTGGGATTGGGGCAAGGGGTTAAAAATAAAAGGAAGTGTTTCTCTCACTTTCTAAGATAGTCCCGGGAAGCAGGCTCTTTAGCTAGGAGGACCTGGTAGGTCTGAAAGAGAATCTTTCCAAATGCCTCCGGGGATTCTTTGAGGCACTTAAAAATGTACAGGGTAGAGTAAAGCCTGTGTGAACATATGTGTAATGTCACCTACTCCATGAAGTCAACCAAGTTAACTTGGCTCTAAGGGGTGTCTGCTGTTGTGGAGACTTTCAGAGAACGAGCTGCAGACACTTCTGAATCTGGACCCGGGTGGGCATCAGGTTGGGGATTTTCTTGGTTCCATGCAGCAAGCATAAGGTTTTTCCTTTCCTTTCTCTGCCTCTCCATTCTGCCTCATTCTCCTTCCCTCCTCCTCAGCCCTCGATTAAAAAGTAAAGATAGTAGGATTTACGTATAGATTAACTTGGGATTTAAATACTAATGAATTCTTTTTATATTTTAAAGATTCATTCGTTTGTTTGTTTTTAGGCAGGACCTTACTATGTGGCTCTGGTTGGCCTAAGAGCAGGGTGGCCTTTCACTCACAGAGATCCTGCCTCCTGAGTGCTGGGATTAAAGACCCTCCATGCCTGGCTACTGTTAGGAAATTTTATTCCACATTTTACCCAAAGATTTTGACTTCAAACAAACAAACATACAAACAAGCAACAACGTTCCCTGGGACTCTGACCAGCTAACCTCCAGAAACTTTTCTTAGCTTCTGTCAGTGACAATTTCAACCAGGATAGTAGTTTTCTAATTACCTCTTTTCAGCCAAATTTCTGGGCTATTGTAGCTTCTCTTCCCTTTCTTCTTTCTTCGGAGCCAGGGCAAGAGAGAGGGGTGGAGGAGGACACAGGTGAGCAGAGGGAGGAAGACGGAGCAAGGGTCAGAACTGAGGAGGCGGAAAAGTGCGGAGTGCTCCGTGCATAAACTCACTGGACAATGGCTTTCTCTCAGAGAAACAGAGCGGTTTCCTGTCTCTTTGACAAGATTTAAGGCTGTGTTGCTTATTTCTTATTATGAACGAATACATGGGAGGAAGGCAGAGGAAATGGGAATTTACTTCCTTGCAGCTCCCTCGGTCCGTTGACAGCTGTTGTTAGTGTTCTGTGAGATCTGCTCGTAGGTTCCTTCCTGTGTATGGCGTGCATGCACAGACTGAGGTTTAGAAAAGAGACCGTGTTCATGTATACACTAGTTTTCTCCTTTTCTCACTTCCTGTCCTACTGCTGTTCCCATGTGAGTGGATGGAAATTTATAGCATGATTTTAATGGTTGTATAGCAGTCTATTAAGTCAAAATATAATTTGTTTAACCAATATGCTAGTGTTGAACAATTATTAAACAGTATTCCCCTCTTCTCCTGTCTTCTCCCTCCCTCCCTCTCTCCCTCCCTCCCTTCCTTTTATTCCTTTTCCCTTCCCTCCCTGCTTTCCTTCTTCCTTCTCTCCTTCCCTCTTTTGCCCATCCTCTCTTTCCTTTCCTTCCTTCCTCTTTTCCTTCCTGCTTTCATGCCTTCCTTCCCTCCCTCCCTCCTTCCATCCTTCCCTCCCTCCCTCCCTCCCCCTCCCTCCTCTTTAGCTCAAATTTCAAGCATAATTGTAACTGTAACTTTGTGTCATCTCACGACACATGTGGGATTAAATTCTACAATACAGTATTTTCTAGATCAAGGAGGGGGGGGCTCAGCTGCAATGACAGTTTTTGATACAGATCATCAAATTGTCCTTTAACTTTCTTCCTATTCCCAGTCACGGCAGCCAAAGTATTGCAGAATGCCAGCATAGCCCACGTTTAGTGAGAGGCTGTTTTGACACAACCTAATGTTCTCATACACCTCTCAGCATCTCTTCAGCAGCCTGCCTTGTGGGATCTCTTCCAGAGGAAGAGTGGACCTAACCGTTTCCAGAAAAGAAGAACTTTAAGTTGCAATGTCCTTGTAGGAGAATGGTCATCGTCACGGTCAGCAGTGCATTTGTGCATTGGAGTAAACGTGAAGCAGCAGAGGGGCGGGGCGAAGAAGCAGAGGGGCGGGGCGAGAGCAATCGCGCTCACCTGTTCTTATGGCACCATCACACCGCCCAGCTTGTCCAGCTCCGGGGATGGGTGCTCACGTGACACACAGAAGCCATCAGTCCCTGACTGCAGTTCCTGTCTTCTATTTTGATTTCACTTTCCCTCTTCTGTCTCCTGAAAGTAGATATTCAAGATCCTTCTGTCATAGACCTCTTTCAGGGTCAGGAAGCTTCAAGAGAATGCCACAAAGCATGCTCTGTAAAAGACAGGTATTTGGAAAACCTGTTAGGGAGGCTTAAGAGAGGAACACTGAGTTTTTCACAAAATCCTGATTGTTGTAATTTTTTTCAAAGGTTGTGGGTATAAAACTCAGAGTAGTAAGTTAAAGGACCGAAGTAGGCCATCTCAGAAGGAAAAAAACTGTCCAGCCCTGGGGAAGTAGATTCGGTTTCCGGAGGCCTCGCTTGCATTCTCATGTCTGAGGCTCCCCCTGACATTTGAGTTTCAAGTGCTGGGGTATTTTTGGTTTCACAGGCACGCTCACAGCTGTCTTGTTTTAATGCTGTAATTGTGAGCCTGACCTACAAAAAGTTATATTTGCTGGGTAGACAAATGGAAAAAGTTCCTTAAACGAATACACTGACAAATTCTGTTGGCCTATGTGGTTAATAACGGAGACTAGAACACTGCTCTGTGATACACACATAAGGCCTTCGGTGTCTACAGTCCCCCACAGCCCTGCTTACCAACAACCATTAGAGTGTGGTTCCATGCATAGGACACTCTTGTCACACTGGGGATGGATGCAAAGACGTATAAGACGTTCATCTCTGGCTTGAGAAGCTTCAGGCCCATGGATATTCTTATTAAAAAAGTCACATAAATCTTGTGGTGCCATTGTTAGAATATGCTGCGCTTGGGACCTTGGCAGATCCCATGGCATGCAAGGGACAAACACACCATTGGGCAGAACTTACATGGGAAAGAAGTTTTATTGGGGGGGATGGGAGGAGGAGTGGAGGAAGGGGGAGAGGGGAGGGAGAGAGAGGGCAGAAAGAAGAGAGAGAAAGAGAACAGAGAAATGATAGAATTTGAAGAGTGGGAGTAGGCGGGGTCTGTCTCTTAAAGGGACCTCCTGTAGCTGCAGAGAGCCAGGATACTGCTTGCCATGCACAGGGGGATGATGAAGTGTGCCAGGCTCCCAAGGGTTGAGACTAAGTTTGCCTGGATGATAACAGCCATTGTGCAGCCTTGCTCATGAAGTTACATTCAAGTAAGTGCAGTGCAGTGGCCACATAGTGAATTAAAACACTTTGACTCCTGTGGTCCTGAGTGATTGTGGAGAAGGGAGGAAATGCATACTTGTTATGCATTGACCTTGACATCACATTGACCTTGCTTTCTTGAGGGTGTCCATGTGCTTGGCACACCTGCTTCCTGAAATCATCTTTCCAAACTCCAGATCCCCACCCCTACCCCCAGTCCTAGCCAGGTACCTAGTCTTGGTGGCTTTTCTGGTCCTTTCTCATCTTCTCTTGTACCCTCAGCTCTTCATTTCTGTGTAATTGCACACTAATGGTGTCTGGCTATGCTTGGTTCTCCACTTCTGCACTGCAAAGGGCTTGACCAGGAACTGATGCCACAGGCAAGAGTTCTTCCTGCATACAACTGACATGAGGGGGCAGCTAGAAAGATTTGCATAGCAAGCAAGTTGTCTTGGTAAAAAGACAATGCTTTTCGATGATGTTGCTCATAAAGAGGTAGATGAAAAGGCAAAAACATATTTATTATCATACATTCAATTTAAGGGCTGTGGGTATTTAGGAAGGGAGAATATTAGTTACTGTCCTTATAATTGTGATCAAATACCTGACAAGATGAAACTTACGGGATAAAGTGCTTCATTTTGGTCCACCTTGATAGGGAAGGCATGGTAGCAAGACCAACCTCTGGGGGCCTAAGGATGCTTGCTCACCTCAGTGGATCAAGAAACAGACAGAGAAGAATGCTGGGGCTCTTCAGGCTTTCCCCCCCCGTTTCTTTCTTTAATTGAAATCCCCTACCCATGGAGAGTGAGTCCTACACTTAGGATGAGTCATCTCCCATCAGTTAAACCCCTCTTGAGACACCCACGCAGACACATCCAGATGTGCATTTCCATGGTAATGCCAAACCCCATCAAGTTGACAGAGAAGATGAAATACTACAGTGATCAGGCATACCCGAGGTATACCTTGACCTGGGCCTTGAACAAAAAGTAGAGAAAGGCATTGACTGGCACACTATTGTGGGGTGGAGTGGGGTGGGGTGTGGGAGGGGTGGAGGGGTGGGGGTGCCCACAGTGTTTGCTGACTGCAGAGTGAGTTGTCTGTGCTGGTGGATTTCAACAAGAAAGTTGGAGTGGAAGGAGAAGTGTGGGTGGAACTGGAAAAGGGTCATTCTTGTGTTAAGGGCTTATTTTTATCTCACAGGCAGAAGTAGGTGTGACAATGGCACTGTTATATGTGGTGAGTACCGTGGACTAGCTTTTGATGGTGAAAAAAAAAGATGAGAATCAGGTGAGGGGGCAGCAAGTATCAGGGATATATTCTCACATCGGGGTATGTGTGTGTGTGTGTGTGTGTGTGTGTGTGTGTAGTCTTACCAGCTTATGTTTGTATATATATGTGTGTGCTCTTATCAGCTTATGTTTGTATATATGTGTGTGTGTGTGTGTATTCTTATCAGCTTATGTTTGTATATGTGTGTGTGTGTATGTGTGTGTGTGTATTCTTATCAGCTTACGTTTGTATATGTGTGTGTGTGTTCTTATCTGCTTATGTTTGTATATATATGCATGTGTGTGTATGTGTATTCTTACCAGCTTATGTTTGTATATATGTGTGTGTGTATGTGTGTGTGTGTGTGTGTGTGTATTCTTATCAGCTTATGTTTTTATGTGTGTGTGTGTATGTGTGTGTGTGTGTGTATTCTTATCAGCTTATGTTTTTATGTGTATGTGTGTGTGTGTGTTCTTATCAGCTGGAATATATCACATCAAATTGGTGATAGAAGCTCTGCTTCTGCTCAGTTTAGATGTGGCATTGATGTTCTGCAGCCAGCTGAAAATGCAGGTCCCCAGTCGAGGAGGAGCTCTGTCTTGGCAGCTCCCCGTGGAGGCTGGAATGGGGCTACTGGGAAGGAAGGGACACAGCAGGAAAGGGTGCATGGGGGATGAATGGGGCTCGAAGTCATGCTGTTCTCAGTGTGGCTGTACCCAGGATGCGACCAGGAAGCCAGACAGAGAGGAGAAAGGACTGGCAGGGAGATGAAGAGAATGGTGTGAGCGGCTGGGAGGGACCAGCTTGAGTCGTCTCAGGTGGAGATCAGACTTGTGTGGTCATGATTCCGGAGTGTGGCTTCTCATAGCTGTCACTTTATTCTTCTGGTCATCCAAGCCCAGGCCTTGATGTCCTCCTTCCCTTTTCATCCCCCTTCTAATCTAGTCATCAGGAAGGGTTTGGTCTCAGGCTTCATCAAACTTAACAGATCCCTTCTGTCCTTACTCTGTGGCTACCCAGTCACAGTCTCCAGTACCGGGGCTGTCCTAGATCTCCCCGCCTGGTCTTCTTGTGTCCACACCCCCTCGCCCCACATCTGAGCCATATCAGGGAGGGCCATTTGCACCATTTCTTCCGGCACCAGTTCTTCCGGCTGGCTGGCTCCTCTGTCTCTTAGAGTAGAAGCTGAGGCCTAGCAGTCAATGAGGAAGGCCCAAGGTGTTGGCCCTGTAAATGTCTGGTTTGTTTCTCTCTGTGATAACTGCCCAGGAATTCTACCATCTGTAGGCTCTTCCCTGCCAGATTCCAACGATGCCCACTTGTCAGGACCCCAGTGTGGTCGCCTTCCCTGACAACAGCTGCTTCCTTTCTCTTCCTTTGCACCCTAGTGCTCCCTGAACCCCACTCTCTTCCTTGGGGATAATATTTCCTTATGGAGAGGAGCCTTTCTGTATCAATGCTTGTAGCTCCTGCTAGAATGTAAGTGCCTTGAAGGCAGGGAGTGGTGTGTGCTTTGTTTACCTGTTATATCCTA